AGGGTTTGGCAGAGAAAAGCTGCTCACAAAGGTGGTCAGGAAACAGAGAGAGAAAGGGAAAATGAGGGAGGAGATACATCCTTCCAGGTCACAGCCCTGGTGACCTCCCTCTTCTAACCAGACCCCACTCCTAACAGCAAGTCAGCTATATTGCCCCCATCATTCAGTCATCATCCAAAAGCCCTGCCTATGAGTACATGAGTACATGGGGAAATTGCTGATCAAGACCATAATAGTCACTAAATTACCCTGACTGGGCTCAAAGTTGTAATTGTTCTACCTCAGCCTCCCAGAGTGCTTGGGATTACATGTTTGTGCTACCATGCCTGGCTCCTTTTGGGTTCTAATGGAGACTTCATTGCATACCCAGTGCTAATAGACTGGGAAAATCCATCAAGGCCTGTCCAGATTCTTTTTTGGTTTCTCTTTGCAGCATTCCTTCCTTCTGGGTATAGAATTGAACCCTTTCTGAAATGAGAGTTTTATTACCTACTATCAGACAAAGTAGGCCAGAGAAAAGGCTGGAAGATTAGAATTTTTATAACCCACCTTGGAGAGGGAATGAAAAGCCAGGAGCCATGGAAAAAAATCCAAAATATGTATCATAATATCACAGAAATAGAGAAAATTTCTTTGAGGAAATAATTATTCATCTGAGAGCTAAAGCATGAGTAGCAATTAACTAGGGCTGGTGGAAAGGAAAGAATTTTAGACAGAAGAAAACATGTGTAAGACTAGAGTCAGGAAGAAGTAAGGCATGAGAAACAAGGTATGAGGCTATACACAAGCAAGCTGTGAGAGGTCATAATTCTATTTAATTTTTTTTTTTTTTTTTTTTGGTGCTGGGGATGGAACTTGGCACCTTGCGCTTGCAAGGCAGGCGCCAGGACCACTGAGCTAAATCCCCGGCCCGAGGTCATAATTCTAAATGGGAGACACACAGCGGGTCCAGTAGTTCCCTCAAACGGCCTGCCAAAGTGGATGAGTATGTGAGTCCAGGTGTGAGCACTTTTCTGAGGAAAGAGTGCATAGATTTTATCAGGGTCTTACATTTTATGACATTCTCCCACCCCCTGAAAATGTGAAAAAAACCACTGCTGGGATGCCACCGGAAATTAAGCCAAAAAGTAACAAGACCAGATTGTAAAGTCCACAGGGCAGGGACTTTTATATCTTTTTTTCTGCTGATAAATCCCAAGTACCTACAATAGCACCATGCACATAGGTGGAACTCAATTAATAATTGCTGAAGGAGTGAATGTCTATTTTGGTATTTCACTGTATTGTAATCATGTGCTTGATTCCCCTTCTTTACAAGGCTTAATCCTGGAAAACTATGTCTTATTCATCTTTATATTACCAAAGATATGGTTCTAGTGCCCAGCATACAGCACCTGGCTAAAAATCAGCTTCAGTTATGCATTCATTTATTCAGCTAATACTTAAAGAGCTAGGAACTGAGAATACAAAGATGATTAAAATATTTTTACTAGGGGCTGGGGGGTGTAGCTCAGCAGTAGAGCTCTTTCTTAGTATGTGCAAGGCCCTAGGTTTGATCTCCAGCACTGCAAAAAGAAAAAAAAAAGTAATAAAATAGTCACTAACCTCAAGGAATTTACCCTAAAGATAAAAGACTAGTAAGTAGGCCTGATAACAGTGTTTAGTAATAAGTACTACGAAAAAGGTAAGAATAGAACATAACCTTAGGAATGTCAGGGAAAGCCAGCAGGCAAACCAACTGTGGGGTGTCCTTGGGCCAGATAAAGAAGAGAAGAGAGCATGGAAATGAGCATCACAGGAAGAGTCCAAAGGAGAGAGAATAAGGCCCTTTTGAAAATCTCCAAGTAGTTAGGTAATGTGGGGGTGAGATGAAGCTGCAGAGATGGGCCAGGGCCATAAAGCATCTGGACTTTATCCTGAAGACAATGAGGAGACATTAATGGGTGCATGATGAGGCAGAAGAGTGATGTGGTCAGATCTGCATGTAAAACTACTTGTGCTCCAGATTGGAGAATGAATTAGAAAAACAATAATAGTAATTGCAAGAGATGATGTTGGCCTGCACTAAAGTAGAGGTAGGGGGAAAAGAGAATAATGGACAGATTTGAGAAATATTAAGGAAGTTGGATCAATAAGATTTAGCAACTAATTGTGTGTTAGGATGAGAATGATGGAGTGGTCATAGATTACTCTCAGGGTTTTTTGTTTGTTTGTATTTTTGGGGTTTTTAAAATGTTTTTTGGGGACCGGGGATTGAACTCAGGACCTTGCGTTTGTGAGGCAGGCAAGATGCCACTGAGTTGTTTTATCATTTTTTTTTTTTTTTTGAGACAGGGTCTTGCTAGGTAGTTCATGCTGACCCTGAACCCACTATATAGTCCAGGCTGACCTTGCACTCACGGCAATCCTCCTGCCTCAGCTTCCCAAGAGCTGGGATTACAGGCTTGTGCCACCATGTCCAGCTACTACTCTCAGGTTTTTAACTTGGACACATTGGGTGAGTGAGAACAAAAATTAGGAGCAGGCTTAGAGAGGCAGATGATGAATTCCAATTAAGACATATTGGAGTTCTTTGGAACTCCCATGTGGAGTCTTTTAGTAGGTAGCTGGGTACACACATGGATGTGGAATTCAGATCTAGATTGAATACATAAATATGGGAGTCTTTGCTTAGTAATTGATTCCTAGGATTGGATGAGATCACTCAGAAAGTATAAAGAAAAAGGATGAAAAGATAGCCAGAAACATAACTCTGGGAGAATATGCAAGTAAAATCATTTTTTAAGGGAATGAATAAAGGAGTAAACAACTAATAGGCATATTTATAAGGGACACTTTCTAGTGCTATTTAAATACTGCTACTGAGGGGCAGGGATGTAGCTCAGTGGTGCCACGCCTGCGTGACAAATGCAAGGTCCTGAGTTTGATCCCTGGTACCTAAATAAATAAACAAATACTGCTACTGAATCAACCAACTATCCTGTCTGTGCTTAATGATAATCCTGTTCTTGAGCTTTTCAAAGGAGAATATGTTATAAAACCAAAAATGGAAAATAGAGAAGATTTGCACAGCACAGCAGAAAGTATATCTTCAGGACTTTTTCAGACACATCTGTGTCCAGAAGCTGTATTGGTAACTGAATCATAGCAGCTTCTTATTAGTCTGCATGCAAGAAGCTCTTTAAAAGCTATGTTTGAAATATAATATGAAATGCTCTAGGAATCATTTGATGCTCATCTAATGTTCACATCACCTAGATGATTTGTGTAGTCTGCCCGATTGATGGCTCTTTGCTTGGGAGGTTGGCTTTGGAATCAAATATGCAAACTCAGGGCCTGGGATTTAGCTCAATGGTTCTGCCACCTGCCTCACAAGTGCAAGGTCCCGAGTTTGATCCCTGGTACCAAAAAAAAAAAAAAAAGCAAACTCAGCCAGTTAATGTACACCTGAAAAATATATCTTGAATGTTCCTGTGTTGGATAAATGTGTCTCCTAATAACATACTTGCTTTTGAACCCCCTAATTGTCTATAAACCATTGAAAATTCCCAGGCCTCGCTGGTTGTATACATTATTGAAGATATTTTGACTCGGCAATAAAATTGTAGTTCTCCAACTTGTAATAAAATCCTAGTTTATTTGAACAATAGAAGAAAACTAGAATAAAACTATTAAACCATCAAGCCAACTTGTCATTTGAGAATTTGTATACCATCTTCTCTTGTTTCACATGTTCCCAGACTTGATAGAGGGAGGATAGTTTGGTTTGAATGGAAAGCATGTCCAAGCAACATTTCTAGACAAGCTTAATTTTCCAAGTATTTTTTCTTATAACCAAACCATAACAAACTCATCTCCTAGATTAAAAAAAAAAGTTGTTTATGTGTTTTGGGTTTGTATGTTGCTATTTCCTTTACTTTAGAGCAGACCATTTCAAACTTTTGTATGTATAACAAACCAGGTATTTGATAAGCAGCTCTATTTATTTTCTCAGAGTTTTGCTACTTTATATATTCAGTGTCTTAGTTTAGGCTAGAGGGAATTTGTGGTTTCTGTGATCAGGAATTCAACTGCTTTTTAAAACTAGATAAAATAGTGTTTAAAGTACCCATTTTTAGAACAAATCATGTTACATGGTACTTAAATACTTTACTGACATTCCTACTATTTTACAGTAATACTATATCAATAATTATAATAGCGCTATAAAAGAAATAAGGGATACTATTGGCGCCTCTGCTGGATATTCTAACAAGTCTTGCCTTAAAATATGTTGTATTCCATTTTCCTCCTCAGGAAAGAACGGAGGACATGGAAAAACCTTTTCTTTCATTCAGTGGCTGGGAAAAAATAAATGTCCTTTATGTGTTTCTTGGACTTCTGGACATCTAGGGGTTGCCTGATAGGTTATAATGCATCCAGTTGTTATTTAGTTAAGCAAAAATAAGTTCTAAAATCTTTTCCAAAGCTGAGCCCAATGGAAATGATGATGTTTAGTGATAACTCACTAATCAACTTCACTTTAATCAATAACATACCTCTCTTCAGTAGAAGGGTTATGGGTCTTCTTAATTCATTCATGTGAACATACAGGAAAGACAAGGCTATATGTCTCTGATAACTAAAATTGGGACTTAAACTATGTTTGCCTCTAAACAATCAGGGATTTATATCTCTTCTGACCCTTAACTGCCATTTGTTGGCCTCACACCTTGACAACCCTTCCCTTAAGAGTTGTATGTGCTGAATTCACTGGAGAGAGCCAAGAAACAGTCCCAGAACTGGCTGCCTTCAGGGGACCTCAGCTCCTGAAACTTGGAACACCAGAATCTGATTCTGGTAGCAGGGCCTTGGTATAGGGCCAAACCAACCCACAGAAAAGCAGGTTTGGATCCGTTATGAGCTTGAGGGATTAATGCTTGGTCTACCTGTCTTATATATGTCTTGTGCAGATGTCAAAGTCTCTGCTAAATTGTGCCTTTCTCTGGTAATTCTCACAGATGCAAAGAATGAATTTTGTGTATAGTCAGCAAAGTTCTGAAAGTTCCAGGAAGAAGAAGAAGGTCAGCGAACCAGTGAAAAACTTCATCTCTAACAGCAAATGAAAGTTAGATGCTTTGTCTATTTTAAAGTAATTTAATTTTGCAAAAACATGTATGAAGTATCTAAGCAGGAAAGTAAGGTCTTATAACCAAAACCTTTTTCTAATTTGTTTCTAAGATTTTTACTCAATCTACTGAGTGTTAAACTACTGACTATGGCTTAGGTTCACTTTGCCACAAGGAATAAAGGTGGCCATTGCTGCTTTGGGATAGCATTACTTCAAGGCTGAGTTAGAGATGAGACATGCTTTATGTTTATAAAAGAACCACAGCACCTATAAGCTGTTGTTCTCAAGGTATTTAGATTACTATAAAATATTTTAACTTGTTGTAACTTGTGTCCTAGAACCTCTCTATAGCTTTATTAAAATTCCTACAGAGTTGCATAGGAAATGTGTGGAGGTGCTTAGTTGGCTATGATTTATGTGTTCACTTCAGTCACAAGGTAGTTTAGCTAAGTGGGACCAGCATGTGCTCTACAATGTATCAGCTAATGTAGGCCCAACACATTCTTTCCTTGTAGAATTCCTCAGCTTGAGCCCCAGGCCCTGTCCTGTTGGGCAACCCTAAAGATGAGACATGGTTTAATTCAGGAACCTATTTCCCTTTTAAGTTGTACATTGAAGGGGCTGGGGATTTAGCTCAGTGGTTTCGCCACCTGCTGCGCAAGCCCAAGGACCTGAGTTCAATCCCTGGTACCAAAAAAACAAAAAATAAATAAAACAAAATTAAAAAAAAAAGTTGTATGTTGAATATTTTCCAGTAAATACTTCAGTATTATCAGTTTGGAACCTGTAGATGGTGTTATTCATCTCCTCATCCTGGAATTTTTTTTGATAGACTTAATGATTGGTATGAGTGAATAATGACTTAAGTATTTTTTAATATAATATAGAATTAAAAACTTTAAATGAATAGGATCAGTAAGTTAAATGTAAGTGTATATGCTTTATGGTTAAATAAAACAAAAGCACAAGTTGATTGTTTTTCTTTCTCATCTTTTTTTACACTGGGTAGTTTCTTCACTTAGATCAGTGTTTCTTCAAATGTAAAATGTAGTGAGGCCATCAGTACCTGGAATGGTCATTAAGGTGTGGATTACTGGGCCTGCCTCATTTTTACCAAGTTAAACTCTCAGAGGTAGGTCCTGTGGAAAACTCAGGATTCTAATCCACACAAAAAATTAAGAACTTGTGACCTCTGGCCCAGACTATGGAGAATCTTGATCAAATGTGCATCTTAGCCAGGAGAAGGCTGTGTGTTATAGTATCAGAGAAGAAAGTCCAAGGAAGCCCAACTGTCTAAGATCACCCCTTGCTGGACTCCAGGGCAGCCTACCAGCTGGCACCTTGAACTGGACTAAAGCACCAACTCCTGCCAGGAGGAGCATTTTCCCTGCCCAGCACATTAAATGGATTCATGTAAGCCTGCTCTGCCACTAAAAGGAAAAGGAGTGGGAAGGTATTGAGTTTATTATATCCTTGATAGAACTGTAGCCTGAGTCACCATAATTTCTTTTAAAAGAATCACACAAAGAGATTAGCTGTCTAGTAAAGGGATTAGATTTATTTTGTGTCTCTCCAGAGGGCAGATCTAAGACCAAATTGGTGAAAGCTACAGGAGGTCAATTTGGCTCAGTATAAGGAGATCTTTAACTCCATAGGTTGTTGGAATTTTGAAATAGGCTACCTTATGAGGTCGTGAGCTTGCCTGTACTACAAACATTTGATCACAAAGGTGCTTTATAAAGACTCTACGAGTCTTTGATTCACAAAGCAAATTAGTTTACAGAATAATTAGTCAATCTGGGTTTCAGAAGGAGCCATTTTGGATTCTTTTGTTGTTGTTTTTTGGTTTTACTGAGACAAAGTCTTGCTGTGTAGCCTAAAATGACCTTGAATTCAGGATCCTCCTGCCTCAGCCCCTGAAGGCTGTGACTACAGGCATGTGCAAACAGGCCTGGTCCATTTTATGACTAAATGGTGAATTTAGCTCTCAATCCATATTTACTGTTGTCATAAATTTAGCTAAGGTTGACAGATAGTTAAGATAAAGTTTAGAATCAAAATCTGTCTAGAAAATTTCTGTAGTGGTTTTTTTTTTTTAATACTTTCTGCCCTAGTGAAATAGTTTTATCATTGCCAGAGGATGAAGTGTGTATTTCTGATGCAGATGTGTACGAGACAACTGAGAGAAGTTATTGAGCCTATGCCCTTGGCCAGGCACACAGGGAAGGAGATCTGTTATCAGGAAGATCTAAGAAACATGAAAACTCTTGATCTTACACAGCATACTGCATATATGCAACCAACTATCAAGATGGGAGAGTATTCAGTTCCAGTTACTGAATGATTTATTAGCAGGAAAGAAATCCTTAGTCTATTCATTTCTGACTCTATCTGTAATGGAATGAATAAACACAACTGCATCAAGGAGCTGAAACTTCAGAAAAAAGGAAGAAAACCTAGCCCCTGAGCTGGGAAGCCTGAGCTATACTTGCCTAGCCCTTCCCTCACCCTGACTGTGCTTGCTTCTTCAGCGTAATTACAAAGATTAGATGACGATAGCTTGGAAACCAGGACATTGTTAAATTAAAAAATTACGCGGGGGAAGTTTGAATTTGGCTGTTTGTGGTTTTTCTGTCTTTACAGAAAGTTAGTCTAGCTGGAAAGAAATGGGTTAGGCTTGTGATTGCCGCCAGCCTTTGAAGCCAGGCACCAAAACCGCACCTTCATTTCCCCTCTTGCAGGTCCCTCTGGTGTCTGGGTTCTTTGAATCTCTGGCTCACTTCTGCCAAAAAGAGACTGGAAATACTGATCAGTGTCAAAGTTGCATTCACATAAGTTCAAAGTTGTGTATGTGTTTTTAAAATTCCACTCACCATAAGAGCCAATTTTCAATGTAACTTTATATTATCAATTTATGGTCTCAAACCCAACGTATTGGATTTTTAGGGACTTCCAAAGATCCTTACAGTAAGACTAATTCTCAGTTGTAATCAACATCCTTCAGAAGGAGATCTCAAATAGTAAACTTAACAAACTGTGCTTATAAGAGTTAAGGCTAGGGCCAGGGATTTAGCTCAGTGGTTCTACCGCCTGCCCTGCAAGCCCAAGGACCTGAGTTCGATCCCTGGTACCAAAAAAAAAAAAAGTTAAGGCTAGATCTTACACACTGTGAGTTAAGGTTCTATATGAGCCAGAAAATGCCTAAATGCATCCTTTTTAGAAACTATAAGTTTTTTAAGATAATATTTTAAGTGTGATGTGTGTACTGAGGTGCTGGCTGAGCATTGATATGTAATTTTCAGTTTCTGTATAGAACAAGAGTATCACTGGGTGCACCATTATTTTGGATAAAAATAAAAGCAATCTTTTATTAATGGGCCTTTTGGTTACACAATGGTAAAGTCAAGATCCTATTCAGAAATGGCCAGATTTGAGGATCTAAAGAGCTAATCTGCTCCCATAATCTCTGCTTGGGTGCCCTGCATCTCTGCAAACAGGGTTTCACATTCTGCAAGGGTCAGGTTGTTGAGACACACTCTTCTAGGAGGAAGTGGTAGCTCATAGGTACCCTTGGCTGACTGTGTGGGGTGGGAATAAACTGGTCCCTGCCCTCTGCTGGAAGTTGCACCTAAGATTTGCTCAATAGGAGACCCTGGGATAAGGCTTGACCAGCAGTCCTGAGAATAGGCAGATTTATTCAGGATCAGGGTTTTTCTGCATTATAATTCCATTATGTTATCTCTGAGCCTGCAGTAAAGTCTCACTAAACATTTTAGTCTGGAGTTGAGCTGATTGTGGTAGTATGTACCTGTAATCTAGTGCTCAGGAGACTGAGACAGGAAGACTGCTGTAAGGTTAAGGCCACCCTGGGCTACATAGTAAGTTTAAGGTCAGCCTGAACTACATTGTGAGACTCTCAAAACCAAAAAAACCCAAAAAACCCATTTTAGTCTAGTCTTAACTGTCCTGTGGTGGTCTGCAGAACAAGAATGGTGAGGCAAGCTGGTTAAGACAGCCAGAAACATCCGGGAAGCACTTAATGAGCATGTAAGCATTCCTTGGGATCTCAGATACTTAGGGATAAAACCCTAGTATAAGAGTTGCTTTAGGGAGTGTGTTGTTTGACTGTATCAGTATTCATGAAGGCTGAAGAAATCTGGGGCACCTAGGTTTGATTAAAATATTACTAATTAGCTCCAGGATAAAAGGCAAATTTAGTTTTCCATCTTCCTTTCAGGTTAAGGGAAAGCCTGGGCCGCTGGGTTCAAAACCTGCCTAGTATTTTCTACACAAGTTATTTCACCTCCCTACCCCTCAGTTTACTCAATCTGTAAGATGTACATGCCTTATAACTTTTGTGAAGATTAAGCAATGTGACTCAAGCAAACTGCCCAGCTTGTGTATAGTCAGTACTCCACAGATGTTCATCATTATTGCTATTTTTAAACTTTTAGCATGTCCTCTTCCGCAGTCTCCAGGAGCTTAGGATCCCTGTGCTGCTTTTTGTCTACCCAGAACTCCTACATCAACATCCTCTCCAAGCCTGGGGTTGGCACTTGACCATGCTCCCAGTTGCCTCTGTTCTCAGCACCTCCCCACACCCTCCCCAAATTGAAACTCCCTTTCCCTCAGGACAGATCATGGAAGGGAAACTCAAATTATGCTTAATAAGCTGCCCTCCCACATTTTGTATTTTAAAACAGAAGCTTGTTAATAAGAAAAATGACTCTCACCTAGAGACTATTATATGACAAGAAACTGAATAAATAGGGAATAAGAAAATTTGAAAAGAACTCATAACAGCCTCCAAATATATGAAGGACTGACACGAGCTACAAGGAACCATAGACATATTCTGTATTGTTCAATCAACAGAACACAGAGCCCACAGAGGAAGTCAAGGAGAGGCAGACTTGACCTCAACATATGAAAGAATTTCTCCTACATCCTCTAGTAAAGTGCCTGGCACATGGAAGGCAACCAACATATTCCTGTTTTTATTAGCACTTAGAACTGCCAGCTGGTTACTACTCTGGCTGCAGTGAATTCCTTGTCACTAGAAGTATTCAAGCCTAGTGTATAGGATGCTGTCCTTTTGGATAAGAATTGAACTGACTGAATACTGACAATTCTTCCAGCTATGAAGTTTTAAGACACTTTTATTAATGGTAGAATTTCAACAGAGATATTTTGAAGCAAAGGAATATTTCATAGTCTTTTTTACCAAAAGTGAAGTGGTTAAAACTGAGGTTCTGGAGTTCAAAACCTGATCATCCTACTACTTACTAGCTGTGTGACTCTAGGCAAGCCATCTGCTCTCTCTGTATCTTAATTTCTTTTTTCTTTTTTTTTAAGAGTAGGAAAAATGTATTGGGAGAAAGAAAGCTTCTGGCTAAGAGAGACAGAAGGGGGACCGGAAAGTGGGTTGCCCGCCCACCCCACTTTTCAAAGCTGTTTTATACAGCAAAGCCATGTGGTGAGGTGGGTACAAAGTGGGACAAAACTATAAGACCCAATGGAAATTTACAAGTTGGGCATAAGGTGGGACAAAACCATGACCAACCAATAAGATTATAAGTTTCTGTACCTTAATTTTCTAGTCTGTAAAATGAGGGCAATAGCAGCATCTTTCATTATTGTGGAAGCTAAATGAGTTACTGTAGTACAGACAAAGTGCTTAGAAGAATGTCTGGCACATAGAAAGTTAATGCTTAGTAAACATTAGTTATGAAGTATTATCCGATACCCTCATCTTTTCTAAGCTTTTTAATGTTTTTTCAGCATGTACAGGGCCATCCTCTGTAGCATAATTGACTCTGACCTAGATTTTTCCTAAATCAGATGCCAGGCTTGGCTACTGTGATGAACAAGCGCACTTTCACTCTCCTGTAAGCAAGCTTTAAAGCTAAACAAGCAAGCAGAGCCTGTGATATGCAGTTTATGAAGGATCCCGCTGATGAAACACAATCACAGCTGTGGACACCCTCACTCTGCTATGTGCCTGGCAAATAGTAGATTCCCAGTAAATATTTGTTTAATGATAGATGAACTTGGCAGGGTTCTTATTATTTCCTACATTTTATTTATTTCTTTTATTAGGTAATACATTCACATGATTTAAAATTCAAAAGGAACAAAAGAATATATAGAGAAAAACATTCCTCCTCCTGCCCTACAGCCATCTAGTTCCCTTCCTTATAGGTAACTAAAATAACCACTTTCTCATATATCTTTCCAGAGCTATTTTAGGCATAAACAAGCAAACATACTTGGTTATTATGCACATGCATTTCTTTCTGTCTTTTTAAACAAATAGTACCATACACTACCCAAGACACGATTATTAAAGTGGCCCCAAATGTGGGGGACAGTGTGGGCATGCAAATGAGGAATTACAGAAGAAAGAGCTCAGAAGCAGAAAAATCAACCAGGGACTATTGTTATCTCAATTTCAGATGAGATAGCTAAACAGAGAGAGGGAAGTTAAATCACTTGCCCAAGGCCACACAGCTGGTAAATAGCAGAGTCCAAATGTTGAAACTCAAACAGTCTGCTTCCAGAGACCATATATGAAAATGATAAAAAAGATATTTAGGGCCCTACAGAAAGACTTCATTACTATTCAGCAAGATTGATGGGAGAAAATCCTCAGAAGGTTATTATAAAAAGAACTTTTCCCCAGGCTTCAAGTGTGCCTAAAACAGCCAGTAACCATTCTTTGTAGGTGTTATCAGGCAGAATTGACTTCATTCCCCTGACTTTACTGTGCATACCCACCACATTGCTTTCTTCTAAGAATTTATAACATTTGGAACTATGTCTTTATGTTAAAGAACTGGTGTGGTCAGGTCATTACTGAGAATGACAACTATCTCTGCCTATCTATGGGTCCCAGAATATGCATGTCATTCTGAAACCACAAGGAATGTGGTTAAGTCCCCGGTCACATCTCTCAACAAAGATTCATCTGCTTCACTGTTACCTCCAAAGAGCTTTCTCTTGGACTAAGATGTTAATTCAGAGTGATCTCTACTAATGGGCCTTCCCTAAAAATAGCCTATTAAAGGAATTAATTACATTGCATTTCAGAATTAATTACATTGCATTTCAGAAATTTCTAAGCATAATGAAATGGCTCCCTAGCTGTAACTGTATGAGATGGAAACCACTGAACCAAATCATAGTCCAGACAAGTTCCTATCAAGTGCAATGAAAGTTTGCTAAGATAACTGCAGACTCTACAAGAAACAGAATAGTGGGGCCGAGGATTTAGCTCACTGGTTTCGCTGCCTGCTGTGCAAGCACAAGGACCAGAGTTCAATTCCCTGTACCAAAAAAAAAAAAAAAGAAACAGAATAGTGAAAATGTTATTAATGGAACTAATTTTCACTCACTGATGGGGTTTTATTAAATATAGATCATATTTTCCCAAACATTTGAGGTTCTTTATTATCACCTCAGATGAGGCCTAAATTTGGCAATTATTAATATTGAGAATTAACTTTGAGATACAATGTTAAGGTTTTGTTTTAATTTTTAAATAAGAAAATAGTTCTTTTAAAAAAAGAAAATAGTTCTTTTTAGATTTAAAACTTAGGATGGCCTTAGGATGCATTGAGTTGCATTCAAATTCTAGAATATGACAGAATTATGTTCTCTAGAAGTTTAGATTGTTTTCAACACAGTGCTACCTAACTCCTAGAAATAGATTAGATCAGTGTTTGCTCACTTATTTCCCTGTATGTTCCATTTTTCACACTGTGAAAATCTCCAGAAATGACAATAACAGAATAAAAGGATAATGACAGAGCTGGGGATTTGGCTCGGTGGTTCTGCTGCCTTCCTCAAAAGTGCAAGGTCCCAAGTTCGATCCCCTGTACCAAAAAAAAAAATTTGTTTTGGAAAAAATAAAAATAAATAAATAAAAGAATAATGGCAGATTAAGTGTAGTGCTAGGGATTGTGCACAATCTTGGTTTTCTTTTTATCTATTTAACTATCAGTTCTGTTTCTTTAGCTGCAAAATGTGGGTGGTGAACCACCCTCCCATTCAGAGGTTTTACAAACCAGGTAGCGGAAGCAGTGCATTATGATGGTCTACTTTAGATCTGGTACAATGCCTGTGGTCCCTGTGCTTGGGCTCCAAGATAGTTGCAGTGACGGCGAACCTTTTACAGCTTTCAATGATAACAAACAGCCCTCTGTGGCACACATGCCATAGGTTCACCACCATTGGCTTAGAGGAAGAATGGAAGATTCCAGGGGAGGGGAATAGAGCCTGTGATGCATCAGTGATTCTAGAGAAGGTCTGATCCCCAGGAACCAGGGGAGACCAGACCCCTGTCCCTCCTCTAAGCTTTGGAGTTACTATTAAGCAAAAGTGAGATTCATCTGAACCTAGTCTGTGGTTAACTGAATCATGGGCTCCAGTCAGAATCAACTCTGCCTTGAGAATGAGGCTCAAGGGGGAGGGAGTTGGTTTTATTGATGAAATTCATTTACAATTATAATAGGAAACAGTCATTAATGTGCTATATATTATTTAAGAGACTATGGTGATAACACACTGTGTAAAGTAATTTACAAAACTTGCAGAGGTTGCAAGATGTTGAAACACCTTTCAGTATCTTGTTATTGCTTAAATTGTAAGTGCTTCTTAGAATGATTAGGCTAAAGAAAATCTAACATAGTTCTAGCTAAAAGTCATTAGTCTAACATTTCTGATGGAAACTTCAACCAATTCTGCAACCAAAAAGACAAACAGCTTAAAACTGCCAGGTATCAGTATTATTGTAATAGTCCCTTTATCAAAAACCTATAACTGAAATTTATAGGTAAGAATTTACAGTAAGCAGCAAGTACTTGGAAACTTGTCAGTTAAGGTTTCCCTTTATAGTAGAACTTTTGCTGTAAGCTTTTTAACCCTCTAAAGCCAGAGAATAAAAAGAAAACTTTCAGAATTAGTTTCTAAGGAACTTGTATAAAGGTCATGATACTAAGAGAAATTTTAATTGTCATTTCCAATAGGACATAATAATAATGCTCCTAAGGAAAAAACTTATTTCTTTCTTTTAGGGGAGAGTATATAAAATAACAATCAAAATCTATTTTTCAATTTATTTCTAAAGGCAAGAGTTAACTAAATCACTTTAAAGTGACTTCATTTCCTGCTGCTCCCCTAACCTCTTTAAAATTGAGACTACGACAAATATTTGCATAGGTTTATTATTCACATTTAATCATGAATAATTCACTTTGTACAGACAGCTGGGTAAACAAGCTATTTGGAGTTTCTTTTTTTCTAGATTTTTTTCATTGGCTGAGAGGAAATGGCACTGGTAGTGATTTTATATGATTTTCAGTGCTGTTGTGGACTCTTTCTCCAAGGCAGGATTTCCCCATCCTTGTAATTTTTTTTTTTTTTTCAGTTTACCTCTTTCTGTCAGTTCTTGGGCTGCAACTTACCAACATAACATTTTGTATTATAGAATGAAAAATTATCTCAGTTATTTAGTTCTGTAGTCTGCAAGGCAACGTAAACTATATGCTTCTCCTTTTTCACACTTTAGAATTTTTTTAAACTACAGATTTGCTTTCATATGGAAACTCTCTTGATGATGGGAAAAGATTCTTCCAAGTTCATTCTGCCTTGTTGTTACTTCCTTTATTTTTTGCTGTCAGCCATTAACAATTTCACAATTATTTGAATATTTACCACAAAGCCGGTTTTCATTTCCCTCTCCTCCTTCCAGGCCTACGTGAGGGAGTGAAGCACGTATTACTGAGCACAGATTTACCCAAGGCATTTTAACTTCTGGGTGAGGGGGGCAGAATTTACCAAAGGTCAAGGATCCTTCCAGATCTTTGAACGTCATTAACCAAATTGTGATAGTATAACAAGTGATTTAGGAGAGAATTAGACTTTTCATAACTCATCTATGCCCAAATGAGGAGGGGTTATAGTATATCCTTGGGAAATTTCTGCTCTTTGTCATGGACTGGCAAATAACTAAGAACTGTAGCCACCCACCAAAGATCATGAATCCACCCTGTGTGAGTTGAAGACAAACATAGGCATAGGGAGATAGATTATATATAATATATATATATAATATATATATATAAGATATATATATCCATTCAGCAACACATATCACAAAAATATGAATGTCATAGAAAATATAGCCAGTAGCATGACAGAGAAAATTAACCATAATTTGACTAAGTTAAAAATTAACATTTTCTTTACTTAATAAGCATTTAATGTGTACTCTGTGCTGGATGTATTCTAAGCACTATAACATATTGACCCTTTCATTTTCATTAAAACCCTTTGAGATAGGTACAATCTCTATCCTCACTTAACAGATGAAACTGAGGCACAGAGAAATTGAATACTTTGCTTAATGTCACCATAAGAAGTGGAAAAGCCAGGATTTAAACCAGATAGTCTGGCTTCAAAATCTGTGCTTTTAACTACCATGCTTATGGTAGAAAGTTTGGAAAAATAAGAAAAGCAGAAAGAAGAAAAAATTGCCAAGCATAATGACACCTGACTGTTACCCATCCACTCAGGAAGCTCAGCCAGGAAGATTGCCAAGTTCAAGGCCAGCCTGGCAACTTAGTGAAAGCCTATGTCAAAATAAAAAAATGAAAAGTATGGGGGGTGTATCTCAGTGGTAGAGCACCCCTGGATTCAACCTCCAGTACTACATAGAGAAGAATATCCATAGTCCCATGACCCATTTTAGCATATGTCCCGTGTGTATATAAGCATTTAATTTAGTGAACTATATCTCTATCAATTTCCTGATTTTTTTTCAGTTAATTATACCTTCTGAACATTCTCCCATGCAAAGAGATTAATTTGATTGAATGTTCAAATCATTTTCTTAGTCTACTTTCTAAATACCAGTCTAGTCAAGTTTGGAAGCATTTATGATTGGTGGGGTGAAACAGGGGGCTGCTGATTTAGCAGATGCCTTGTTTCCCCAAACTCAAAGAGCTGCCCTGAAAATGGACTACATATAACCTATTTTAAGCAACTTGAAAAAAGTGTTGTAGCCTAAAAATATAGCGTGACATTTCCCTTCAATGCTTTTCGTGTTCTGTCCATTTCATATTGTCATTTTTCTTAGGGATGAGATGGGGGTAGTAAGTCTTGGTGTGAAGAAAAATGTAGGCTAGTCAACAGGAAACCCAAAGTCCTTGATACAGCGCTGTGGCCTCTAATTGCACCTTGGCATGGCTGTGTTTTCTTTCTTTGATAGGTGTTGTCAAACAAACAAATAAAATGTTTGGAAAAACATTTACCTAATTAAACAAAATTATCGTTATATGCCAAGGCATTCAAGAGCAGTCCCTAAAGCCAAGACAGTAGTGATGATTGCCGTGGCCAGTTCCAGCTTTTGACGAAGTCACGTGTCATCCTGCCAACAGCCAGAGAGGCAAACAGGCCAGGTAAGCACTGACCTAACCTGAAAAGCTCCTGGAGCACAAGGAAATTGGCTTGAAAAGACTTTCCCGTTTTTCCTCCTTGTTAATTGAATTTCTAGCTCTAATTAAAGAGACAGAGACACAAAACAATATTTAAAAGAGAAAGTCAAAGAATGACGCACAACTCTGAGAAAAAAAATGCAAGTCTCATGAAGTCACTAGAAGATGTGGCTGCACTGACCCTTCTCTGTCCTTGAGCCATTTTACCCATTTTCCTGAGAGGAAGTGGACTCGAGGGATAAGGGCCAACCTCAAAGGGCCCACTCTGGGAATTACTTTCATATGCACATAAATTTCCACAATAAGTACCTATAAGAGTGTGCATGCAAGTTGCTCTTTCAGACTTCCTGTCCAGTGTTCTAACTTGAATCGTGCTACCAGAAAATCAGGTGCATCTCAATTGCTGAGTCAAACTTGGAATTTTTGGAAACCAAAACTCTCTACTCGAGTCCTCAAATCCCTTTTCTACTTTCTCTTTAAAGCATACTCCCACCCCTACTTCCCCCAGTTCCTGGTCCCAGATGCCCTCAGAACCCTTGAAGGCAGGAGCCATTTGAAATTTAAGATGTACTAAGCTGCCAAATGGACGAAATAAAAATTTTCTTTAACTTTAAAACCAAGGTCAAATCTCTTTATTTCAAGTCTTTTTGTGAACTAGTTTTAATTCTTTCTGAGTTTTTCTTTATAATCTTGGGGGAATGACAAGCCATTGGGACAGGGAATGAGTCAGTAATTCCAACAACAGCCTGCTAGCTGTTGAAGGTCACCACTTTATTCACCAGTCTTCAGATTCCAAAGACACTCTTCCAGGAGAAGGGAAGCAGTGAGTGCCAAAGACAGTCTTTCTGCAGGGGAGACTTAAGTAGATAATAACACCATTATATCAGGATAATATATATCCATGTACCACATAGCAACATTTTGATCAACAACAGATTGTAGTGTAGGACAGCGGTCTTGTAAGATTGTATCCCCTACTTTGTTACGGCCATCTTAGTTTGCACAAGCACACATTAGTATAACAATGAAATCATCTAATGACACATTTTCCCAACTGTGTTCCTGTCTGTTAGCAACACAAAACTGTAGAGCTCACTCTGGACCCCAGAGAGGCTGAGCCACCTGACCTGGCATAGTTTATGGAGGAGCTGAATCTAAGTGCTATGGCATGTATCCTGTGGCCTGGCTCTCCCCTCACTCTGAGTCTTCCTCTTCCACTCCTTGTCCAGATCTTCTGTAGCCTTTTTAAAGTACAGTAAAGGATTTCTCCAATACATAATGGCCTGTTAAATACTCAAGGTTTGTTCTTGGTGTCCCTTTACCTGATCCTGAGGAGGCCTTCCCCTGAACTCCCTACTGCCTTCTTTCCCCACCCTTTCACCATGTATCACCCATTCTCTACCAGGCTTACTGTCCTGGAAAACCTAGGCCTTTTCTTCCCCAATCTCACTTACCCTACATCTCATCTCTCTAAGTCCTGCTGGAGGGCCAATTTGTAGTGGGCATTGACATATTTTAATATCCCAAGGGCTTCAGGACTATTTACTAGCTGTGTGAGCTTGGGTGAACAATCGAGGGTTACCTGTAAAGGACATCGTAATTCTTTACAAATGCACGGGTGGTAGAATGGTTGCCTTTTTTTTGTTGTTTTGTTTTGTTTTGTTTTGTTGGTACCAGAGATCAAACTCCGGACCTTGCGCTTGTGAAGCAGGCATTGGAACCACTGAGCTAAATCCCCAGGCTGCTTGCCATAATTCTTTACAATGATGGGCAAGTGAAAGCATTTGAAATTCTGTATACATTGACTAACTTCTTTCTCCTAAAGCAAATTTCAGGGCATTGACCTCTCTTACCCAGATACTGCACCAGCCTCCTCCTGACCATCCTCCCTGCCTCTAGACATGGTTATCACATCTTCTCCATTCTGGCCAAGGAGATGGGATCTTTCCAGACTATAAGCATGACCAAGTTCATCTCCTGGCTAAAACCTCCAGCAGCTCCCAGGGCCCCAGGGTCAAGTCCCGAACTTGTATTGCTAGATGCTGTGGTCCTCACTCTACTCACCAGTGCCCCCTGTGCCAAGCTGCTGCATGTGCTATGCTGTCTTCCACCTCTAAGGCTTTGAGCAAGCTGTTCATTTTACAGTGTTATTCTCTCTCAGTGGACTTTCCAACTTCTATTCATGCTTCAGATTGCAGCTTAAGCATCATTTCCTCTAGCAAATCTGTATGAGTTGGATCACATTCCTTCCTCTGGATACACTCCTGTTCCCATCCTGCACCCAGTAACTGCTGGCCTGCCTGCTCCTCCCACCATAGATACTGAAGTAAGCTCTGAGAGGGTGGAGAAGAGGAGCCCTAACCCCCATCCTGACACAGAGGAAGCAAGGAAGATGGAGTGAATGGCACCTTCTTGGAACATAGAAAACTCTCGATTATTTTTTAACTATGTTACTCTTATTTGAAAGTATTTGCATTTCAAAATCACTACCCTCTTTGTTGCATTTCAAAACCCCTCTACCCTTCAATGCCTTATTTCAAATGAAAGTAACTGGAATATTAAGCCTACCCAAGAAATACAGTATTTTTGAATCCAAAAGGGAAAGGGGAGACTCAGATAATAACAACACGCATACTGTAAAATAAATTAGCATTAATAACTCTATAGCAGATATGCAGATATCTCATTTGACTCAATTACTCCTATGAACTGGAGCGTACTCATATTTTACAGAGTATATTGGTTACTACTCTACATTTACAAGCAACAAAAACCATCTTAAGTGGAAGAAAAGGAGATGTAGACTTTGTTACAGCTGCACAGAGGTGTCTCATGGAACCCAACAACATACCTGGTCTTTTACAGGGACTGAAGCTAGAAACTGCAAGACCTTTAGAAATTCAAGATTTTTGGAGTTTGTTTCTGTTTCCTCCACACATATAATTCGTCCTTTTTTTTTTTCTTTGTAATGGCTTCTTCTGGTATGCAGTCCTTTGACCAAAGATGGCAGTGTTACTGCGTAATGGGCTGGTATAGTCCAGGCTCTTGTGTATGATGAGCAAAGAACTGCCAAATGCACGTTCAGTAACAAGTGGTAAGCAGCTACATTTATTGAAGATCACTGAAGTTGTGCTCAGGGCAAGTCTGTGCCAATAAAAGATGTGGCACAGACAGAAAAATGGTGCCAGGTGACAAAAAAGTAAAAGTACTACACATAGGTTGTACATGCAAATAGCAACAGCAGCCCTTCTAAATCAGGCTTTCAGAATTTAAAGGATGTGCACCTCAGCCCAGATGCTTCACCCTGAATCTCTAGGTGTAATTGACAGAAATGATTGGCAGGGGGCTGAGTAGTCAATCTTAGGGGCTCTCAACTTGCATGCTTGAATTAACTCTGAATCTTAATTATATTCCCAGAATTAACTCTGATCTTAATTACATTCATGAGATGCAGTACATATTTATGGACCTGTAATGAGGTGGGGAGGGTGAAGGTGACCAAAGCTCAGGCTAGGATCCAACATGTGTGAGCTTTTGCCAAGAACATCAGAGTTCTCCTGAGTTTTTGTTATTTTATTTTCTATGTCTTTTAGGAAAGTGGGAGGAAGAATGGCCATAAGGTGCTGTTTAGATTTAAATGGATGGAAGGGAGTGACTTCCTCAGTTCCATTGTTTCTAAGTGTACTAGTCCCCTGAGAACCTGATCCCAAAAAATCTTTATGGGGTATTGAACTGGGAAGTTTCGTCTTCTATGGCTACTTCCAACTGAATAGAGGCATTGGCCCTACTTACTCAGAGACTAAGGAACCCTTGCTCTGACTGATCTGAGGTCAAGGGAGCCAAGTTCTTTCTCTGAGGATTTCTTGATGAACTGTGGATGTGGAGGCAGGTTCTGATCTTGGGCCACGGCCACCACCAGTAGTTAACAGCTGTCAAACAAGAAAAAACAAATTTGACTAAGAGATTAAGTATGTAAGATCTAAATATTAAGGTAATGAGCATTAATAAAGACTATGTCCAGGACAGTAAACTAAATCCCCACTTCCAGGTATTTGGCCAGAACATTCATGACTCAGATAGTCCTTCCCAGATCTTAGAACAGTGATGGTGAACTTTTCAGAGGTTTCAAGGATACAAACAGCTCACTGTGGTACTTGTCCCATAGGTTTGCCACCACTGTCTTAAAAACATGGTCAGCCAGTTTCTGTGCTGTATATCTCACTATTTCAGACCGACTGACATAGGAACTACATTTTTGTTTTAGAGACAGACATAACTCCTCTGTTTCAGGAGTTAGGAGATCTAGTCCTCTACAGTGTTCAATGGCCATCGCTGCTAGTGAGTGTGATTAAGCTTGAAGGATGGCAATACTCTGGAACATGTTCATCCAGGCCAGTGATGGTGACCCTTTTAGAGCTTTCAATGATAACAAACACCGCACTGTGGCATGCATGCCATATGTTCATTCCCCACCACTAGTCTAGGCTGTCTGTCGCGTTCCTAGGTAGCTGTTAATAGGAGAAAGATATGATTTAGCTTTAAGGTCTTATGTAAGTAATCACTGTTTGTTGTCTGTATTAGAGGCAGTTTTTGAATCATCCAAGAAGATCCTAAAACAGAAAAAGCCCAAAAGAAGTCATGTTATAACTTGGGACAGGGATCTCAAGTGCAGTAAATAAAAGAGTAGCAAGACTATCCATATAATTTTCTTAGAGGGAACAAAAGTTTTATTTTTCTGGTTCAAGAGTAGTTGGTGTTTTCTTTTCTAAAAAGAAGCTTGAGGTTATCTAACTGGTTCACAGAGTTTTGTGGTCCCTCTTCTGTTTTCTGGTGCCTCAGTCAGCTTGGATTTCACCCTGCAGGAGTGAATACTGTACCTTAATGGCAGAAGAAATAGTCAGAAGAGTTGTGTTATGGCCTTTCCATTTGGGTGTGAGTTGTGAGGTCTACCTTCCTTTCAGATCTTGTTTAGCACCTGGTCACAAGGGCAAATATTGGGCTGACAATTATTGTCAATGCCTGGGAGTGAAAGAATCTTACTGCCATATACTTGGAGGGCCTGTTGAAAAGTACCCAGATGGGTCACACGTTGAAGGAGCTGAGAAGTTTCAACATCAGTAAGTCAAATGTCAAAAAGGGACTTCAAAGCATCTCAAATGGGCTGAAATTAAGTTTAGACTTGGGTGCCACCTGAAGCCTCATTAAGGCAATTGGAAGGAGATCTAGCCACTTATGGTAGATTTCTTGACACAGCCTGGCTAAGATTCACTTGAGAGTCTGACTGGCCCTCTTGACTTTTCTTGATGTCTGTGTAGAAATAGCACTTAATTCTCAGTGCTTTGGTGACTCCCTGTGTGATTAGGGATGTGAAAGAGGGTCCATTATTGCTCTGGATAGAACTAGGCAGTCAAAACCTAGAGATCACTTCCTTAAGGTAAGGACTTTTACCCCTCCAAAGCCTGTTCTGACCTGAATGGGAGGTCTCTATCTAGTAAAGGTATCAATGCACACCAAAATGTGTGTGTGCCCCTTACATATAGGCATGTGGATGAAGTCTATTTGCCAATCTTCTCCAGGGAAGGACCTTTGCCTTTGTACCAGCTCAGAAAATAGGGGAGGATGAGTCTGTGGATTATGGAGATCACAGACAGGACACATCTTATAGACCTGGGTAACAGTGTTATGGACTCCACGACCTACAAAGAGCCTATGTGCCATAGTGATGATGGTGTCTCACCTGAGGTAAAAGACATATGTTGAGACACCTTATAATCTCTTTTTGCTAGAAAATTGAGAGGTTTTTTGTTTTTGTTTTTTCTGTTTGGTACTGGGGATCAAACTCAGTTCCCTCCACTTGCGAGGCAGGCAGCTGAACCACTGAGCTAAATCCCTGGCCCGAAAATTGAGAGTTTTAACAGTGTTTTGTATTAGGTAACTCCTTAGTAGGGCTACAAATGAGGGGGTCATCTATACACTGTAATAGAGCTTTTTTTTTGAACTTTAAATCTTTCAGGTCTTGAGTTAAAGCTCCTGTGAACCTTGAGGCAAGACAGTCCAATTACACTGTTGGTGAAGTCCTGTTTAGGGAGCTTCCCATTCAAAAGCAAACAATTATTGAGAGCTAGGATCCACAGGGATAGTAAAAAAAAAAAAGACATCCTTGAGACCAAAGACAGTGTCTCCTGGGATCTGAGCTAAAATAGTATATGATCTGCTAGTAATGGATGAATAGGTACCACAGCCTCATTGATGGCTCTGAGATCTTAATTTTTTTTTTTTTGAGACAGGGTCTCACTGTGTAATTCAGACTGGACTTGAACTCACTATGTAGCCCAGGCTGGCCTTGAACTCCTACTTTAGCTTCCCAAGTGCTGGAATTACAGGTGTGTGCCACCACACCCAGCTGAGATCTTATACTAGGCAATATTCACCCAATGGCTTGACTATATGTAAAATGGGTATGTTGCACGGGGACCGGCATAGCACCAGTAACCCTGCAGCCAATAACATTTCAATAATGGGCCTTAACCCTAGTCTAGCTTCTTTCTTAAGGTCATATCGTTTTCTGTGAGGATATAGATTAGGGTCCTTTAGCTGAATGACTACTGGAATGGCCTTGACAGTCTTTTCCAGGGTGCCATCATATCATGTTTGAGGATCAATTCCTGGCAAAGACAAAAGGTCCCATGGGGTCAGGCTGGGTCCCTAACAACTAGGACATGGGTTGCCAGAGGTTTGAATGTCAGAGTGGTCCAGAGTTGGAAGAGTATATCTCTTCCCATAACTGGCATAGGGCACTCCAGTAACACCATAAAAGCAGCTTGGGAAAGGAAATCTTCCAAATGGTAGTTCAGAGCAGTGAGTAAACAAAGCTGTGTGATTAACTCCTTCAAAGCCCACAACAACTTTAGGACAGAATGAAAGCTCATCCCAACAAGAAACTAGAGTTGAAGAAGTTGCCTCAGTATCACAGAAAAATATAATTTGTTTGCCTGCTATTTCTAGAATCACCTGTAAATTGAGCGGAATACTCTGGTACAAATCCCATGCAGGCTGCCTCAGGCACTATCATTCACTGTCTGGGCCTTCCCCCTGCCCACCAAGGTAAGGAGTGGTCTCATCCCTCTCTGGGAATGAGGACAGTCCCTCTTCCAATGCCAAGGATCTTCCATGTTCTGATGGGCCCAACAAGCAGTTTTTGAGGTCATTCCTTTGCCTAGTGCCCCAATTGCTTACGCTTGAAGCACTCTGGTATTCTTTTGTCACCCTTTGGACTGTCTCAGTTTCCCCTGGTGCTGTGGGCTTTGTCTTAAAACTTATCAAATAGAGTGAGCATGCCTTAAGCCTGCCTATTTTCTTTATTCAACTTTCATTTGTCCTCTACATCGCAGTTATTAAAGATCAAATAAACTACACTGACTATTGACTTAGTTTCTAGAGATTTTTCCTAATATTTTGAGCTGACTAATAAAATACTGCTTTAGGATAATTTGACCTTCTCTAGACTCAGGATTTAAATTAGTATATTTATTTATAGAGTGCCTCATCAAGCCACAGCTGAAAAGTAACTATATTCTCATCAAACCCTTGACTAATAGACCTGAGATTATTGTAGATTACAGGTTTGGGCATTCCTTGTCGAATACCTGCTAAAATGGACTTGATGCATGACTTTCATTTGGTTTCCCCTCCTGCTGTGTTATAATCCAGTAGGGCCCCTCTTGGGACAAAAATAATACAGCAGTTGCCTGATTATCCTAGGGTGAAGTTGTAAAGCCTTCATCATTAGCCTGTTTTGTGGCCCTTATAATTTTTCCTTTCTACTTCTGTGCAACAAGAAACAAGGATGAACTGGACATCTCACCAAGTCAGATCAAAAGGCATTGTTAGGGTATAGAAATCATCAGCAAACTTTTCAGGATCCTCAGAGAATCTGCCTAGTTTTTCATTGCACTGCTGAATATCCATAACGGAAAAAGGGACTTGTGAGAAGGCATTTAAACAGGGAGTCAGGTGGGATGGATGAGACATAGTCCAAAATGGGTTTTGTGGACAGTAGTTGTGGGAAATCTAACAGGTCTATCCCTGAGTTAGTCCTCAACCCATTAGTGGGGCCCTACCAGGGCATCTCCTGATAGTTCTTGAGCTTTTCAGCCCCAGGGTCATGACCTGGTAAGGCTGAATTCCTTGGGATTAGGTCATAGAAGTCTTGCAGAGACTTTCCTGGAGTTAGGTCCCACATGAGAACCTGACAGGGCATCCTCTAGATTATCTATAATTGATTTCACCTTTTATCAAAGCATCCCCTGATAAAACTGAACCCTCTGGGGACTGGACATCTCCAGCCCTGTGTGGGCACCACTTTTCCTTTTGAACCTAAGAATCTTCCCTATGTTCACAGAGTCCAGACATAGAGTCCAGAACTTGGATGCCTTATTGACTGGATGCCTCTTAGCCAATTCTAATATCCTATTTAGGAAGGGATAGCAATCACCTTGCTCAACAGAACCCCAAAACCCAGACGATCCCCCACAGATGTGGCTTTCAGTGCCTTCTTGCTGAGACACTGGCACTTCCACTGATGATATCCCACTATCTGGCAGTCCAAGAACAAAGAATAAGACATGTCCCTAGGGGAGAAAAACACCTCATCTCGCTAGAGCAAGCCACAAAGCATACACATCTGGTGACAAAAATCCCAAAATAAAAATCAGGCACTATGTAAATTTAGTCTGTAAATGCAGATTATACACCCTTTAGATCGGAACATAAACTTGAGGCCACAGTTATCACAAAGAAAGCAAAACTGAGTAGGGTAGAGAGAAAACTTTTAGGATCTAGAAGAATCAACTCAGCCAGAGCTGGCTCTGCCAGTGGCAGTCTGTAACTGTGTTACCAGCACATGGCTCCAAGGTCAATACTCATAGAC